CTGCTGCTGCTGCTGCTCCGGCTCCTGCTTCAACTCCTGCTCCTGCTGCTACGACTATGATTACGGCCTGAGGACAGATTTCAGGTTGGTTGTGCAGCATGATGGAGAGGCGTGGCAGGTAGATGATGTACAGGAGGGAAAACTAGAAAACAAACACTAGCTGCAGTCATGGCATGATTAGCGAATCATGTGCCGCCAGACGTGCAGCATCATACACATGGAGTGATTTGCCAGAAAATGTTGCAGTTGTGGAACTGAGCTCTCTTTCATGGTCGGAAAGATATGTGTCATGCAGGAAATAGAGCATGCCCGACCTGGCTTTGTTCAATGGCTGCAGTGGCATCATGCCATGAACTTGACTGACACAACTCGGTAATCACAGTCGAAGCGGACATGTAGGATCAGACCACGAGATGTTCACTGTAATGTTTCCGTACGTATTGACCTTGCATTGGGTTAAGGGGTCTATGGATCTGCGAAAATCACTAGTGAGGCCAGCTTACGATCAAGAGCCTGTACGTCTAGCAGCAGCCCGCCAGGAGTTTGGTCAGCTGTTTGAGCACCAAGGTACTGCTATTATGAGAATGCTGCCGAGTCTGCTGCGCTTCTGGCCATACAGGTCGTGGTTTGTGGCTGCTTGGTATGATATAGCTTAGATAGCCAACGGGCGAGCTTGCAACCTTTTGCCTTATGTAGTTGGCCTATCTCAGAAAGTTTGAACTTTTTCTAAGGCCGGGTTGTTGAAGAAGAGAGCTGCCTCGAAACCCTAAGCCCTAAAGTGTGGGACCTTCCGTTGATGAGTTTTAGGGTTTAGGGTTTAGGGTCATGAAAGGGCCTGTATCAGTGACTAACTTGACAAGGCTTGCATGCAGATCTGGCCTAGATCTCTGAACGTTCGGATTTTTTCCAGAAATTAGCACTTCAAGGTGGATGTTGAGGCGTGTTAGTTTTTATCCAACACTATCTATCTATCTCTCCATCCATCTATCTGTCGATCTATCTGTCGATCTATCTGTCTATCTATCTGTCTATCTATCTGTCTATCTAGCTTTCTCTGTCACTGTCTGTCTGTCTATCTGTCTGTCTGTCTTACTTAGATATATAGCTAGCTATCTACTCGTATCTCGCAATCTATTATCTAGCCTGTCTGTCTATCTGTCTATCTGGGTAACTATCTACCTATCTGGTCACACGTTGATAAGAAAGCAGGAGTTTTCGGAAGCCAGGATTATGCGGAATGGGCTTTTAACCCAGCAAAAGTCAAGACAGTGGGGATATGCCTGCCAAAACGACTTTCAGAAGCCATGTAGCCTGGAAACTTAGGGCATCGCAAGATTTCTCTACATGGCTCCTGAAGGTCATTCTCAGAGGCAGTGATGCACTGTCTTGACTTCTGCGCGCAGGCATGGGTTCGCAGCCCATTATAATTCCTTCCATATAATCCTGGCTCAAGTCCTGTCCTTAAAGCGCATAGAATCCAATGCGAACGCCTCCAAACCGGAAAACTGCAGAAAATCGCGCGGTAACTTAGGTCCGTGTGTGGACCTATCTACCTATCTACTGTGTCTACCTTGCTACCTATCTCATCTACCTGTCCGTCACTTGTTGTCGCACGCCGGTCTAAGTGCCCATATGGGTGGTTGTCAAAATTATGGTCCCTTTTTGGGTCCTTATTATAATACGGCACCTATTATTTAGGGGACCCCAAAAGGGACCATATTTTTGACAACCACCCATATGTACGTACCCTGCAGAAACGCACGCTCCCTCCCAGCATATTCGAATTCTTCTCCGCGCACGTGTGCATGACACAAAGAGAGAGGGAGACACAGAGGGAGCGATAGATAGATAGATAGATACATCGATGACGGATGGATGGATGGATAGATAGAGAGATAGATGGAGCGATAGAGAGATAGAGAGATAGATAGAGATATAGGTATAGATATAGATATTTAGACGTAGATAGATAGATAGATAGATAGATAGATACAGATAGATGGATATAGAGTAGATAGATAGATGGGTGGATAAATAAATAGAAAGGTGGATAGAAAGATGGTTCGATATAGATATAGCTAGTTGGATAGAGACAGATAGATATCTAGATAGATAGATAGATAGATAGCGTGTCTCTGTGTGTGTATGTCTGTGTGTGTGTGTCTCTCTCTCTCTCTTTTTCTCTCTCTCTCTCTCTCTTTGCGTACGCATGTGTGTGGGTGTGTGTATGTGTGTTTGTTTGTGTGTGTGCACTTGTCTATCTGTGTTTGGCCTCTTGACACAGGCAAAGCCTCTCTGTCCGTTTGCCTTTGTGCAAGTGTGTGTACGGGATTCTTGATACTGATACTGGTTTGGCTGCACCACCCTCCCCCTCCCGGACCTCCCCACCTCCCTGTGGTGTGGTGTGGTTCGGGGTTTGCGTTTGCTTGGAGTTTTGGTACTCTCCTCCCCGCCCTGCGGCGTGGTATGGTTCGGGTTTTAAGTCTGCTTCGTTTCTTTGGTATGCTCAGCACGTTTGGTGGACTGCACCCTGCCCCCGGTGGTGTGGTGTGGTTTGGGTGTGAAGGTCGTCGGGCCATCCCAATCAGAAAGACAACCACTAATGATAACATTACTAGTAGTAGTAATATTAACACTAGTCATAATAGTGATAGTAATAGTATTGAAAGTGATGATAGCAACACTAGTAGTCAAACCATGATAACAGTAGGCAATAGTAATAGCAATAGTACTAGAAATAGCGTTCGTAACAGTAATGGTAAAAGTATTAGTATTAGTGATAGTAATAGCGAACAGTACCAACAGCAGGAAAGAAGTTCTACTAGTATTGTTCTTGGTAGTATTCGTATTAATAGTAATAGTAGTAGTAATAGTAGTAGTAGTAGTAGTAGTAGTAGTAGTAGTAGTAGTAATAGTAGTGATAGTGATAGTGATAGTGATAGTGATAGTGATAGTGATAGTGATAGTGATAGTGATAGTGATAGTAACAGTAGTAACGCCAGTATTAATATTCGCGAGTAGTAAGAGTAGCAACAAATCCACGCAGTAGTCGTAGACACAATACTAGTAATGGTAATAATACCAACAAGCCGTATCAGTAGTAATTAATGTAAGTAAAATAGTAAGAAACGTTGCCAATAATGGTAATATAGTAATAGTACTACAGGAAAAATAATCGTAATAGTAATAAAGATAGAAGTAAAAGTATTGTAGTAATAGTAACCGTATGAGTAATAGCTAACACTACGTATAATGATATACTATCGATTAATACTTGCGGAAAAACACCAAAACACATGGAAGCATGAATAACGTGAACAACGCGAAACCACTAAAAACACAAACAACGCGAAAACGCAAAAAACGCTAAGCATCATCAGTAGGAGCTATATTATATAATAGCAATAGTAAAATAGTAATGCTAATGTAGTAGTCGTAATAACATTAATAACAATACTAAGAATAGTAATTAGTAGTAGTAGTAGTAGTAGTAGTAGTAGTAGTGTAGTAGTAGTGTAGTAGTAGTAGTAGTAGTAGTAGTAGTAGTAGTAGTAATAGTAGTAGTCGTAGTACTAGGAGTAGTCATAGTGCTAATAATTTGAATGGCAGTTAAATGGTGTAGTATCGGTTTTCGTGTTTTTTCAGTGTTTGCTTATTCGCGTTTTCGTGTCTGTTTTGACTTTTCGTGCTTTTCTAATTACTTGTTGCGCGCTGTGCGCCGACTCCGATTAAGCACGACGCGCAAAAGGCTCGCCTAGAGACAGCACCACAAGCACCACCCCGCAAGAGAGCGGGAAAGCAGGCTGGAGGCAAATGGTGTACCATGGAGTAGGTGGGGGCTCAAGCGCTGGAGAGATTTAAATTATTCGGGGAGAAGGGAGTTTGTCAGGGAGGGAAGGAAGGGGGAGCCAGGCACGAACCTTGAAATTGAAATGATGCCAAAGGATGCTATGGCGCGCTTACCCTGATGGCCGTCTTTGGAGTCATCTCATGGCAGGCAGGAACATCGGGCAACAGGGTCTAGGGTCTAGGGTTTAGGCCATGTTGTTTTCCTCAAACCCAAATACTTGAAGTGTGGAGCCTGGCCAGGATGAGCAGGTGATCATCACAGTCTTCGATGTCCTCGCAAAGATCTTGATTTCAGCCTACGTCACGAGCAACTCACCTGAGTGGTATCCTGCGCTCAGCCACGCTTTGTACATGGAAGGATCCCATGGCGTACGAAGAAGCCTTACTGTAGGTTAAGAAATCCTTGCGTTCCAACTGATGCTGATAAGTGTTGACTGGTGTTTAAGCCAGACCACTGTCAAGAGCAAGAGAGAGACAGCTCAGGTTCCAGACGAACGAGGACCTTTCCTGATCATGAATATAGAAGCCTGAAGATCTACCTATACTGTTTGTTAAGTTTCCTGCTCAGACAAGACCGTATTACAAGATGCCCCCTATAGAATTATTAGATCACCACCACCCTAAACTGGCCACTCACGGTAAAACGAATGCCAATACTGTTCCTAAGACCAAAATAGCCCACAGTACCCTGAGGGTCCATGTACCCAAACCGTATATACTTTGGCCCCAAAAGTACCTAGACAGGGACAACTTTGAGGCCAAGGTGTGCACTACATGGGAACCTTAGGGGTACTATTTATAGACTTCAGGGCCCAAAGTTCAAAGTAGGTAGTCTCTGTATGTTTGGAGTCTTAGGGTGCCACGAGACTAGTAGTAAGACGATTAGAAGGCGGAGTACAGAAGAAGCAGTTCGAAACCCAAAGAGCCGAGCCTATGTTCTCGGGCTAGATGACAGAGGTGTGTAGCCCGAAACCTTAAACCCGAAACCCTAGGGGTGTAGGGTGTAGGGTTTAGGGCTAAGCTAAGCCTTAGACCCTACTCTTTTCCACCGTGAAGGGCAGCCTCATTTCGAAAGTGAGGGAACCGCACGTAGTAGAGCATGAAATTCGCATACTCGTTGAGGGTTCTTGTGGAATAGTAATTAACAAAAAGCAGCAGTTGCCCTGCTAAGTTCGATTATTACTATACCGCCCCAAGACTGAGACCAACAAGTTCATATTGTAACTTTCGAAGCCGATGCAAACGCCCTGAAACATTTCTGCTTGTAGCCGGTGCCAGGAGCTGCGTGCAGTTGCTGGGTACACGGCTTGTGGCCGCCAACATCGCAGAGGATGTTCGATGCATGATTCGTCACGCCGGCGTCCCTATCTTCAGTGCCGGCAACTTGCAACGGTGTTGAGGTTGAATGTTACCCTGAGTGTGAATGTCCCCAAACAGCATATAATTTGGCCCCGAAGTGCCTAGAAAGGGACTACTTTAAGGCCAAAGTATGTCCTGTACGGGTACATGGACCCTTAGAGTTACCTCCTAAGCCCTAAGCCCTGAACCCTAAACCCTAAACCCTAAACCCTAAACCCTAAACCCTGAACCGTTCCTTCTAGCAAAGTCTGTACAGGGCGTCCTGGTCCGGAAGTGCTGCTTATGCGGAGACTGCGAATCTCCAAGCCTGCCCAAAGCCATTCAGGGTTTAGGGGTTTAGGGGTT